AGAAACACGTCTCTGAAATCGTATAATTGCGCCGCGGGGAATTTTAATCAATTAGAGCCGTGGAGCTAATTGAAGGCGGCGTTGTGTTTACTGACTCACACACACACACACACACACACACACACACTTCCTGATGGCCCGGGTACACCAGGCTCACTTCTGATTCAAAGCATTTTGTCATTTCTACTCTTAAGGGTGTAACTTTAGGTCTACCATTGGGGGGGTTATGCTCTAAAACCCTACATGTCATTTTTAGCAATTATGCTTAAAACGTAGATAAATGACACTGTAATTTGTTTAATCAGGTCAAAGTTACATAAAGACAACAAGAGAGTTGCATCTGTCTACTGAACCTGTTAATTCCTATTGCGTTTGAGCAAACAATGTCATTTTATTGGGGGGGTTATTTTGACTGGATCGAATTATTGTGGGGGTCATAACCCCCMCTAACCCCCCCTGCAAATTACACCTATGCTCTCAGGTCCAACAAATGCTTTAAAACTCACAGAGAAACACACAGCTTCCGGCCACAGGCCGTCAGAAATATTCATGAAGACAAAGCGCGGTCACWCTTTATCTGTCGGTGCTGAGCCGAGAGGGTTGACCCTCTCCAGCAGCCGGGCGCCGAGTGTCTAATGGTGTCTGACAGTGTCCAAATGGACTCCCGTACAGTTCAGAAAAGGTCGTTTACATCATTAAGTGCTGCTGATGAGATGAATAATTAATGAGTCACTGCCTGGATGGGAGCAGGAACGGGGAGGAAAGAGGTTGATTGAGACAGGAAGCTGTGCGTTTGAACAGGTGCAGCGTTTATATGGCAAGCTGTAAACGCCGCTAAACGGGCACTTTGCAACGCGTTATAGCTTTAGCGGCCATCTTGGATTTTTATTTTGGCTGCAATTTATGATAGAGCTAAGTCTCAGCTACCAATATATTCATTTTTAACTCAATATATCAAAAATTGGCCAAAATTAAGTAATTTGAAGTAATTTTAGCTAATATCAGCTAAACTTTAGCTACAATTGCAGCAAACAGCTGAATATTGCAGGATGCAACTGTAGGAAGCATAAATAGCACATATTAGCAGAAAAAAGTAAAACAAAGCAGAAGAATAGCAGAAAGAAGCACAACTATAGCTGAAATAGCAGGAAACAGCTAAAATTTAGCTAAATTTGTAGAAAGTAACTGAATATAGCAGAAAGAAACAGTAAGCATAAATAGCACAAATTAGCAGAAAAAGTACAACAAAGCAGAAAAAAGGCAGAAGAATAGCAGAAAGAAGCAGAGCTCTAGCCGAAATAGCAGAAAACAGCTAAATTTAGCAAAAAAGTAGTTAGCAAATAGCTGAATATAGCAGAAAGCAACTGTAGGAAGCATACATAGCACAAATTAGCAGAAAACGTTAAACAAAGCAGAAAAAGCATAAGAATAGCAGAAATAAGCAGAACTATAGCTGAAATAGCAGAAAACAGCTAAAGTTAGCAAATTTGTAGAAAATAGCTGAATATAGCAGAAAGCTACTGTAAGAAGCATAAATAGGACAAAGTAACAGAAAAAAAAGCACAAATAAAGCAGAAAAAAGCACGAGAATAGCAAAAAGCAGAACTATAGTTGAAATTGCAGAAAACAGCTAAAGTTAGCAAAATAGTAGTTAGCAAATAGCTGAATATAGCAGAAAGCAACAGTAAGAAGCACAAATTAGCAGAAAAAAGTTAGAAAAGGCAGAAAAAAGCATAAGAATAGCAGAAATAAGCAGAACTATAGCTGAAATAGAAGAAAACAGCTAAAATTTAGCTAAATTTGTAGAAATATAACACGTTGTAAGAGAAGGGGTTAACTGCGGAATAAMAGTGGGCGTGTCACAAGAGTGGGCGTGTCAAAAGCATAAACACTGTGGGCTACGAGGCCTACATGACGGTATCCTTAGATCCTGCTTGACCTCTTTACAGCCTGACCCTGACCCCAACACTAAGGTTAACCAGGAGAAATGTGACCCAAGTAGGGTTCTCCAGAAAAAGTGGTGCCGTACGGTAACACCCCTTTTGTTCTTGTCCAATGAGGTGGTGCCGTACGGTATCGCCCCTTTTTTTTTGCTTGTCCAGTCAGGTGTGTCCCTTTAACAAAGTCCGTCAAATCAGGTGTGTCGCTTTAGAATATCCTTTCCTTGTGACACGCCCACTCGTCCGTACTCGTCCGCAGAGACCCCCTACTTGCGTTGTAAAGTGCCCGTTTAATGGCACTTACGGCTTCCCGTATATTTACGGAGGAGGCCGTAACACTTCCCTGACGTCCTCCAGAGTTGATTCATTACCTGCAGAACCAGAAGTGGGCGTATCGATACTAAATATCGATACCAGCGCTGGTATTGATATTGAACAATACTCATGTAAAAAGATCGATACTCAAGCTTTGTTCTTTCCCGCACACAGTGACTGCTGCACACGTGGATTTTTCAAAGTCTACTCTCTGGCTGTGTCCAAAACGGCAGGACGGGTCCTCCGAAGGCCGAATTTGTCGGCCGCATACGTCACAGCGTCGCCACGAAGGACATCCCAAACCGAAGACTCCTCCGATGCGGCCGACAAATACGTCCTTCCTTTTCCCCRAATCGAAGGACAGGTCCGATGGATCCTTCCCGGCCCAGCGTATCCCATAATGCATTGCGGCCCGACCGGAGATTTTTTTTAAGCTAGCAATGGCGGACGAAGCGAGAGAAAAGAATACGTTTTAAATAAAAAATATGGCGATGTAAAAATAAAAAAATTTTAGCGGTTGCAATTCTAATACTTTTATCGTTTGTATGGACATGTTTTTAAATATTATTTTTATCATAAAAACGCAAAATAAACATGCACCTACAGCGGGTCATTTAATTCTTCAAATGTTACCTTTAAGTTAATTTTATTGTTTTGTGATACTAGCAATGCTAATATATTGATATTTTTCTAAGTTTGATCTATTTTTGCTTCTGTTTAGCATCGTCACGGTTGCTAGGTGACATGACATACGCGTGGGTGGAGGGGAGGCTAGACCGTCCAAATTCACCGCCTCTTTTTTTTCCGGTCTTCCTGGTCTACCAAGGACCCAGCCCACCTCGACCGGGGAGTCTGGGTCCTCCGGAGGACCCGGCCTGTCGTTTTGGACACAGCCTCTGTCTGTAGTGTTCACACTCAGCAGTGCTAGCCAAACAGCTAAGCTAACTTAGCAGGTGGCTAAGTTAGTCTGCTTATTTAGATAAATCAGAATTGCATTGAAAGGACGAAAATTCCTTATTTTTTGTTTTTCCTTAGAACAATTTTATTTATTAAAAGAAACAAGAAATAACTAGGAAAGATGTCTAGTGGTGAGGGAAGAAGTTTTGTTTTATTTTTGTATAAAAGATTTATTTTTCTAATGTTAAAGAAAACTGTTTTGTTACTGCTTTATTGTTGGCAAGCAAAAATATTAATTGTTATAATAAAGTATTTTGTTGTCACGTACAATGTTTTGCAAAATTCTATCCTAGATCTTTTGGATCTTTTCAAATAATGAAGCTTAAAAAGTATCGGCGATACTGGTCTGGTATTTACTTGGTATTGGATCAATACCAAAATTCCCAGTATCGCAGGATCGCTTGTCTGGCAGGACCGGAGGGGAGTGGGATCAGTGCTGAGGTGTGATGTACTGCGAGCGCTCGCAGCCGAAAACAAACCTCGTTTCTTGTTGACTAATGAAGATTTAAGGAGCCGCTGTTTTTCTTCTGTCAGGGTTTGATCACACGTCAGAGGAGTCCTCGCTGCGCCGCAGCTCACTCGTTTTGTGTTTCACGCCTGCCTCGTCCGAGGCGCCGACCTTTTGACCCCGCAGGATGACAGGAGAGGAGGTGATGACGGGTCACCAGACTCCTCCGTCTGCTCTCAGACCTGCTGCCGGTCTGATTTATAATCAAAATTAATTAAATAAATAAAATAAACTCTCGTCACACGTGTGTGGGAAGAACAAACAGCAACACAAAAACACGTCAGAGCTCACAAAGCTGCTCAGATACGACGACAACATCTCCTTTCTATCATGTAAGAGAGTGAGAGTTTGTGTACCTGTAGATCATGTGTCAAACTCAAGGCCCGTGGGCCAAATGTGGCCTGCCACAGTATTTTACACGGCCCGCGAGAGCTTCAAAGATGATTGTGCTGCTTTAATGCCAGCCATAAACTACATCTCACATGCATGTCAGTTATTTAACCTGCAAAGCGACGTCCTCCGACCACTAGGTGGAGCTGCACAGGGTTTGATGCGTAATTCAACGTGTAAAATCTCCATTTTGCTGCAACCCAGTTGTACTGGGAAGTGGGAATTTCCTACTTACAAGTTGTGAATGGTCAGCTGAGGTAAGCTGAGGTTCTTCTTCCATGAAGCAGCTCTGTTGTCCTCCATCCATATTTTCAGTTCCAGGCTGAGTCATTTCTACCTTCTCCTCTCTGTCAACGCTCTCTGGTTTCATTTAAAAGAGTCGATCATCAGATATTGTCCAAGATTAAYCTTCAGGGTGGATATAGCTCGCTAGCAGCCTCGYACCGAGGACCTATCCACGTCATCATTTACCCAGAATGCTTTGTGTGCAAATAAAATGGCCCCGTCCATGTTAATATATATATATTTTTAAAAATGTACAAAACCAAACAGCCTACATTATTTTTACAGTCTTTATTTTACAGTTAAAATAAATGTTTATTAAATAAAGTCTAATGTTACTAATCGTGGATCCCTTTAACGTTCCCCTTCAAAGTCAGTCATTGTTCTTGTTAATCATCACAGGTAAAGCGGAGCAACGATCAGCCTCGGGGGTCCGTCATCAGACCGGTGGCGCCTCCGCACCCTGCTCCGCCCCGCTTCCACGTGTCCGTGGCAACGCTCCAGTTTGGTATTGATTTTACCATCTGAACACTTTACAGATCTGGTTATATCTTATTATCACCACAGTCTTCCCTCGGCCGCCGGACTGCGAGTTCGGCTCAGAGGCTCCATCAGGAGCCGGCCTCTGCCCGTCTGGGCCCCAGTGAAACACTGTGATGGTACCATTAGAGCAGCTGGAGTGGTCACAGGTGCGGCCCGGCTCCAGGCTCTCTGTGCCGAGTCAAAAAGACAAAACAGTGGAAGAAAAAAAAACMAGAAAGTCTTCGCTGAGATCCAGCGTAAACCCTGCTGAGGCTTCTGGAGGACTCAGGAGGTGCCAGAAACAACAAGAGGAGCTTATTAAAGGCCGCCCAGATGGAAACATAATTAAATACTCGGAGACGGGTCTTAGGAAGTAATTTACCGGAGGAGAGCGACTGCGTAAAGCCTCGCCTGCTTCAGAGCCGGATCAGAAACCTGCTCTGTTTTCAGAGATGATTTCAGATTCCTGCTCCCACTGGAAGTCACGCAGCACCGAACACGAAAGGTCAATCAGCCGTGAAAAAATAACAYCCAAGGACGAAAACGCTGTTTTTACTGAGCCGGAGCGTCTAATGAGTTTTATACAAATTATTATTGTGCTTTTATTGAAATAGAATCAGGAGTAAAATAAATAAAACGATTATTAGAAAAATAATGTTGCATTGTGAGGTGATGGTTTAACTCGGGGGGGTTCAGTCCTGCAGGTTTTAGGGGTTTCTCTGTTCCATTGAGGCCCACCAGGACCAGGACTAGGACCAGGACCAGGATGAACACCCCTGGATTGAAGCATTGTGTTGCTGTTGATCTTTTAGCGCCATCTGGTGGGTTAAAGCACAACCTTCATGTTCCTTTACTGAAAACTGTAACAGCTCCACCAACAACCTGCAGAGGGCGCTCTGTCTTTACTTTCATCTAAAAGCATCAACCTGTCTGTTACAAGGTCAAAATGAGTTTTATTTTATTTATCACAAAATAATAAATATTTATCAGACATTTTGGCTGAGACAAACTCATTCAAATAAACTAAATAAAATGTTCTGTTCTTTCCTCACCGGTGCTGGTGGGACTCGGTCAGCAGGAGATCCTGGTTCTGGACCTGGACCTGGCTCGCCTCCTCCATGAGGGGTCGAGGAGAGCAGGAGCAGGGCTGGAGGGGTCCACAAGAGTCCAGTGGGCCGTCAGAACCAGAACTCCCAGGCAGGTGAGGAAGAACCCAGTTTTACCTTCGAAAGACGAGTTGAATATCGTCATGTGTCGTCATACAGACCAGTACTTACTGGGTTACCTGATACACAGAGGTTATATACCTGATTCATACCAAGTATGTACATGACTAGTACATCCCAGGTACTTATCAGGTACGTAGCCGAATATTTATAGGGTTCATATGTGGAAAAATAGGCACATAAAGGGTTTTGATTTAAACGCGTGCAAAAATTGCATTTTGTCAAAATAAAATGAATTCAATTCATCAATGTATCATTTGAATGAAGTGTCTGAAATATAATCCTAAAAAAAACATTTTTGAAGCATTTTTTTGAGCAGAAGCAACAATAATGATTTTTTTTTTTGACAAAAACAAAACAAAACTGATTTTGAGGAAAAAATGACTTAAAATTTTGAAATTTTCCCTGTGAGCTAGCAATGTTTTTGTTTCTTTTCAACTGGAACATCTTAATATACAAATACTATTTGAGGTTTCCTCTTTATGTTGATGTCAAAAAATACTCAATAAATTTACAAAAAAATTAGGATTCAGACCAAACAGTAATGTATTATAACCAGCAAGACAAATTAAGTCACTTCTCTGGATCAACTTATGATATCAGGATGATCCAGGTGTCAAAATGTAGCTTTTAAAGCAAATAATTTCAAAATGTAATTTGCTTATTTTGACCAAATTTGACTTAAATCGCCATTTTTATCATATTTGCTACGCAGGATTCTGTGACCTATATTTTATCAATGTGATCAATATTTTTCTCAAAAACCTGTTGTATTTCATGTGAGACCTGTATTCTGCCCTCTAGTGGATTATCAATGTACTGCAGGAAGTGGAACTTTTTTTTTTTGCCTTTTCAAAATGTCTGCTGACATGAGGTCATCCACACATTTTTTTCAGGGAAACTTTTGCTAATTTTGGAGACGTTCTGGTAAGAATAACATCAATATTGTTTGTCATTTTTTTAATAAATACTTTCTGTGTTGAAACAATGCATAATTACTTAAAAATATTTTTAATAGTACAGTTAAACCGTGTTAAAAATTTGTGTATCAAACTTGATACTGCAGGTGCTCCAGTCCTGAATTGTCAAGTGACATTTTAGTAATTTAATAAACAATATTCTTGCCACAACACAACACACATTATTTTGGATGATTGATTAATTACYGAAATGYCATTTGAAAACACATTTAGGCTATTTTCAAAGTGGTTTCCTTTGAAATTATAATCTCTACATTGTACTGACTAAATATTTATGTGTTAGATGACAAAGAAAATTGAGGAAGAAGAGGGAAAAAAAGTAAGAAAATGTCATCAGTATGATAATGGTGATTTTCTATAAACTGTAAGGTTACATCWGTGCCTGAACAAGGACAGAAACTGTATTTGTGCCTACCACCAAGTGAAATAAAAGGCTGTAAAAAGTTAATGGTAAGAAACAAAAACAAAGAAGTAAACTTCCTAGAGTGTTTTAAACTTGTTAAAAGTTATGGGCAACACTGTCTTTTGTTTCTTAGTTTAAC